AGGGTGGGACACATTTGATGTTATCTTTTCCATCTTACTTTCATTTTTAAAAATTTATTATTTATTTTACATTTCTGTTTCCTTTCTTTCCTTTTATTTATCTATTTTTTCTAGTTTGGTAAAGTTGCTATTTGTTCCTTTTTTCCTCTTTCTGAATTTGGAATTCCCACCATACTTTTATATTCTGTTAATTGTTATCTTCTGACAAAAACAGAAACCAAAAAAAATAAGCTTTGCTATTTAGGTCTGTAAAAAAGTATTTACTTGGCTAACAGGCCAAGAACTATTGTGGAGAAACTTGATGCAATCAAAAATATCTTCTAGCCCCACACAGAGATACAGTCAAGTGGAACAAATTTTTCTTCCAGGAAAGTCTGAGATTTGCCTGATATAGGTCTCATATACACTGTCACAGGTTTTATGTATAAGTAGCTACACTCTCCTGAAGCCCTAACAAAAACCCACTGTTTTCACCCTAAGATAATCTACTTTTACCTTACTACTTTTTTTAACACAAGATGAAAATATTATAATTTCACTGCCTCCACTCTCTTCCTCCCATGAGACCTTCAAAATCCTTCTGTTCTGACCTCCATCTCATCCTATCCTTGGGTTTTCCTATTATTTAACACTTTTAGTACTAGATTATCAGAATTTTCTTCATATTATGTTCCTTTCTTTTTCAAGAGTTCTCATTTAGCACTTTTATTAGACATTCCTAGTCTATCGTTATACACTTAATTATGTGCATAAATACATACATATACTCATGTATCTCTATTCTTTGGCTTCCCCAATCTAGAGTTCTCTGTGTTCGTTCATTAGCTATTGGTTAGAAAAGTGGTTCTTACTGGGGGCTGTATTACTTCCACAGGCAGTACTTAAATATGTGTAGGAATATTTGTGGTTGTTATAATCACTAAAGATATTACTGAATTTGATGCTTGGAGGATAGGGATGCTAGATGTCCCTCTCAGCGGACTTGAGGAAAAAACTTTACTCTCTCATTTCCCATCAACAGATTATTGACAAATAATGTCAAACATCTGTTCTACATTGGGGCAGACACAGACCATGTCAATCTAATTCCCAATTTGTCAATGACTAGGGGGAAGCAAAAGGAAATAACAATAATAAAATCCTGGCCAGGTAAGTGAGTAGGTATGTGAACTGAACACAGAAAAGAGATGACTCCATAAATTTACACAATTATTTGTCTATTAAAAATAAAATAAAAAATATTTAAAAGATAGATTATAAATGGAAATGAGATATAACGTACTGATTAAGAAAGCAGACCTATGTGACCTTGAACAAATTACTTAGCCTCTTTGTGCCTCAGTTTTCTCATATGTAAAATGGGAATACTAATAGAACCTACCTTGCAGGGTTGTTATTATAATTGATGATTAATATTTTTAAGATGCTTAGAATAGTGCCTATCAAATGATATGCACTATAGGAGTTATGTTAAATAAGGAAAATATAAAAGGAGCAACAAGAAAGCTTACAAAATTTAAACCTTATCATAGTTCGTCTTCTTCAAAAACATTAAATATAACCTTGATAACAGCTTACCCTAAGCTCTGTTCTAAGTGCTTCACATGCTTTGACTCATTTATTTCTCACCACAGAGCTGTAGGGTTTTTAGTAACACTGTCCGCATTTTCAAAATACAAAAACTGGATGGTGGAGAAGCCAATTAACTTGCTTAAGTTCACAAAGCTAGTAAAAGGTAGAGCCTAAATTTGAATCCAGGTCATCTGGCTTTCAAATCACTTTCTTAACCCCTCCATCTCTCAAACATAATCTTTACGAAAAGTCCTGGTTTTGATTATCAGAATCAACAATAACAGGAGATATCGGCTGGGCATGGTGGCTCATGCCTGTAATCCTCGATCTTTAGGAGACCAGGGCAGGAGAATCACTTGAGGCCAGGAGTTTGAAACCAACCTAAGCAACATGGCAAGACCCCGTGTCACTACAATAAGAAAAAAAAAAAAAAAATTAGCCAGGCATGGTGGCGTATTCCTATAGCCCCAGGTACTCGGGAGGCTGAAGGAGGAGGATCACTTGAGCCCAGGAGTTTGAGGTTGCAGTGAGCTATGATGACGTCATTGTACTCCAGCCTGGGTGACAGAGTGAGACTCTGTCTCTTAAAAATAAAAAGAGTAGATATGAAGACAAAGTGACTATCTGGTGAGATGTGGTGGAAGTTCAGATGCTGAGTGAGTTCTGTGAGTCTTTTCATTCCTAGCTGTTAGACAAATGTATAAACTGCCCCGCAAGCTTTAATAACACCCTAAAGGAAAGAAAAATTCTGCCACCAGGGATATTTAAAATTGATCTTGACTGGTGGGCTCTAAACCTTGTGATCTATTACCTTTGACTACACAAATATGATCCCTCTGAAGCAACTCAGAGTATAGATTACCCCTTCATCAAAGAAAAATAATACACTCCCCCCTAAACTACAACTACATTTGTTATAGAACATTAATTGGCAAAACTTTAACCAACCCTCAAGGGACAGGCATAGCAAAAGACAAACAAAATGGAGTAGAAATGGTTGAAGAGTTTGAAGAAAAACCAGGGGAATGTGGAATCACAGAAGTCATGAGGCGAGAACATTTCAAAAGGAAGAAGTGGTTAGTGAAATCAAATGTTAACAAAAGATCAAGGAAGATATAGACAGAAAAGTATCCACCAGATTTATTAAGAAGGAGATAGCAACCTTGGAAAGGGCATAATTAATGAAGTGCTGGGGAGTCAAAATCAGACCAGGATGGGTTGAGGACTGAATCTGAAGTAAGGGAACAAAATTATTTTCAGATAATTCTTTCAAAAACTTTAGTTTTAAAGGAAAGAAGAGCATGAAGACATAGCAACAAACACTTACGTGGTGCTCCTATGTGCCAGTCCCTGTTCTAAGAGCATTACATATACTAATGTAATATTTACACCAATAATGTAATGTAGGTCCTTTTACTATCATCATTTTACAGATGGGAAAGTGAAATACAGAGATTTTAATGTAAAGACACAGAGTGGTAAGTCGTGGAGTCCAGACTAATATTTGTCGTTTGATTTAATTTTTTTAACATAATTTCAGATTTACAGGAAAGTTGCAAGAAGAGTAAAAATAATTTCTGGATACACTTCCCCCAGATTCTCCAAATGTTAACATTTTGCTACATTTGTGTTAGCTATCTCTCTAGGTATACACACACATTTTGTTTTCTTCATCGATAAAATTGTAGATATGCCCTTATTCCCCAAAATACTTCAGTGTCAACTTCCTAAAAAAAGGAATGCCCTTACCCAATCACAGTAAAACAATTTTAAAATCAGGAAACTAAATACTGAACCAATACTATTATCTAATCTATACATTTTATTGAGATTTTGCCAATTGTTCCTATAATATCTTCTATAGAAAAAGAAAAGACAAAATTATGTGAGGCATAGTATTGTCATGTTCTTTTTGTCTCTTTTAATCTGAAAAAGTACCTGAGTTTTCCTTTGCATTTCATGACACTGACATTTATAAAAAGAGTACAGTTATTTTGTAGAATACCGTTGATTTGGGGTTATCTCATGTTTCCTACTGATTATATTCAAGTCATTCGCTTTGGACAGGAATGTAATAGTCCTGATGCTGAGTTCTTTTTAGTGTATCATATCAGAAGGCACATGATCCCTTTAATGGCAATGTTAACTATGTTCATTTGGTTAAGATTGTATTTGCCAGGTTTCTCCATTATAAGTCACTATTTTAACCTTCAGAATTAAAAAGTGCCTTAAGAGGATATACTTTGAGACTGTGCAAATATACTGTTACTCAAATTTTCACCTATTAGTTTTTAGTATTTGTTAATAATTCTTACCTGAATCAATTATCGTTGTGTTAGTTGGCAGTCAGTGATGTTCTAATTCCATCATTCCTTCTGCATCTACTGGTTGTCTCTGAATTGTAAGGAAGAGCTTCCCTTTCTCCCCTATTGAATCACTTATTCATTCATTCCAATGTAGACTTAGAGATTCTTACCCTATGCCATGGGTTATAATCCTTTCACTATTATTAATTTTTTTGCTGAAATTGGCCAGCTGGCAGCCCCTTCAAGATGGCTCTTGGGTCCTTTTGTCATGTCTCTATCACTCTTACTTTCCTGCTTTTGTTTGACTCAACAAGATGTTCCAAGCTCATCTTGTTCTTTCTTTACCCTAGGTCTGAAATCAGCCATTTCTCTAAGGAATCCTGGTTCCTTTAAGTGCAGAGTAGTATTTAAAAATGAAGATCTACCCATAAAAAGTAATGAAGTACTATATTCTATAACATGCATGAACCTTGAAAACATGCTAAGTGAAAGAAGCCAGAAAGAAAAGGCCACATAGAATAGGCGTATCTACAGAGATAAAAAATAGATTAGTGGTGGCCAGGGCATAGAGCAAAGGGAGGCTGTACAGTTTCACTAAGGGACGTTTTTAGGGGTGATAAAAATGTTCTGCAATTACATAGTGGTGATGATTGCACAAGCTTATGAATATACCAAAACCCAACAAATTATATACTTCAAAAGGGTGAATTTTATGGTATAAAATTATATCTCAATTAAAAAGAGAAAGAGATCTAGGTACAAGTGTACTCACTGGTACTGGGTTATTATTGTTTCCAGGCCGTCTCAAAGGACAGCACTGGGAAATAGATGCTTGTATTTTCATTTACACTTTCATATGTGACACATAAATGTGTATATATACTCACACGACACCTAGCTATCTATATTAAAAACCCATGAAGCTCACACTGCTATCTCCAATTCCAATCTAACACGGTAAGTCTCATTCTATCCTTGCCCCTTTTTAGATTTGTAATTACCTTCCTACAACAGCACAAAATCTTAGACCGCAATTTGAATCCAGTTCAGTTCTCCTAACCACTACCACATACTGAATAAAATTCAGTAGAATTCGGCAAACATCTCTTAACTGATACTCACAGTGATACTGTCCAAGAGTTTGGCCATATGTTTAATAATTTCACCATGTTGTGCAGGTTGCATTTGAAGTAATTTCTTTATAACAACCACACTTTCAGCAACAACTATTTCTGAAAAAGACAAGACATTATTCATATTAAGTATGTGTAATTCAAGCAAAATGCAATATGCTTGGTAAAATGTAAACGTAAATTAGCAAAACATTCTACATGTCTTAAAAGACCACGTGAAAAGAATAACCATGAATGTGTTCCCAAATTTGGGGGGTAAACACCTGTCTTAAGTAGAAAAGAACCTCTGTTGCTGTCTCCTAGTTTCTGTTATCCACTTCTAATCTCTGCTTCTTTAGATCAGGAAAGCAACAGAGGTTAGATTATACTGCTCACCATAGTGTTCTGTGTCTTTAGCTTTCAACCAGAGCTCTCAAATATTGCTCTTTGATGCCTACCAATTATATAGTGGTAATCAAATATCTACAATCTAAACATTTCCCCTATTCTATAGAAAACAGCAAGCTAAAAAAATTTCCTTAAGTGATATGTCCAGAAAAGTGAGTAGTAAAGATTAGTAGCAGCAGGAAAGATGTTACTGTAGAAACAGCATAGAAGAATGGGACTTGAGAGCTGGATTGTCTCTATTTGTCCCATGAGTTCACTCTTTCTTTCTCTCCCCAGCTCTGTGCCCTCAGAGGTCCACCTGTAGACTACATCAACCAGACTCCCCTCCCCCTGGCTTCTAGCGGCAATAGGAAGCACCAGCAGGAGATCTGGGGAGAGAGGAGAAAATATTTATTATCCTATATCCTTCCCCTGCCAGCCTCCCACCTATCACATGCAATCCTCTACTAAAGGTATCAGTTCCTGTGAGTGGCTCTCTCCTGCAGGGTCTGGTAACTGTGCATCCTCCTCATGCCCCTTCCCTTCAATCCTAGGTATGGCAAGGGCTTCCTACTGTTGCTAGCCTGTTGCCCTAGAGTGCTACATCATACCTTGTTGGTTTCCCTTAATCCTGCCCACACTGTATAAACAGTTCCTTCATTAAATTTTCTTCAATCCCCCTTGTAAGTGTGCCATCTGTTTCTTGCTAGGGCTTTAACTAATACAGTAACTGCTACTGGAAGTGGCTAGGAAGGAAATCCTCAAATCAGAATTATGGGATTGAGTTATCATACTAAAGTGGCTAATCAGTGGTCCAGTTACCTTTGGGTGGCACCAGTAGAGAAATGTAATATAACTAGTTTGAGAACCTGACCTAATGGAATAAATCTTATATAAACTATTATAAATGCTACCAATGTCAACAAAATAAATCAATATTGCCTTTATTTATTATTTTGACATTTTTTTATTAATAGGTCTTCATAAATATTAGAGATTCCCTGGTATATACTAAAAAGGTTTATTTTAATATTATACTGGAAATATCATGATTTGTGTCCTGTTACTTTCTCTGAAAATTATTTTATCTTGCTCTCAAGAATATAAACAAAATTTATCATTCTAACCATTATAAAATATATGTATTTCAAACTGTATAACTTTCTCCATGGGAATGAAAAATTAACTAATAGTTAACTAACATTAATGCTTTAGTTTACAAAATGATGTCATATTTAATTTTCTTCTCACAATAACAAAAGGTAGATAACCTACTATTATCATTTTAAAGAGAAGAGAGATGCACTGGAATTATGACTTTGTCCAAAATTCAATCTCAGAACCAGGATGTACCATTCTATCTATAATAATGTTCTATTATTATTATGAGCAGGTATTACTTCTAAAAAGACCACTTCTTTGTGCTATGAGAAAGACAAAGGTAAATCAGAATGAGACCCTGTCCTCATTAAGCTTACATTCTAGTAGAAAAAATAAAATGGTTATGTAATTACTAGCAAAGCAATATATGGTGAGTATAGTTTTAAAGAATCCATAGTATAAAAATCAATATTTTAAAAATGTATTGTTGCAAAACTAGCCTAAGGAAAAAATGTTACATTATTTTAATTATCCATAATACAAAGGCAGGATTGGTTATAGTTGAAAGATGTATTTGCAATATTATATATCCTTTGGAGCTATATTAGTTTTGTATTGTTGCTGTCAGAGATTACTACAAACAGAGTAACTTAAAACAACACAAATTTTCATCTTACAGTTCCGAAGTCAGAAGTCTAATAGCTCTTATGAGGCTAAAATCACGCTGTCAACAGGGTTGCATTCCCTCTGGAGGTTCTAGGGGTGGAAATCTGTTCTTTGCCTTTTCCAATTTCTCGAGGCTGCCCCACCTTTCTTGTTTCAAGCTTCCCTCCTAACAATCACATCACTCTGACCTCTGCTTCTGACATCTTCTGACTTTCCTGCCTCCCTCTTTCTTTATAAAGGCATTTTTGATAACATTGGGCCCATCCGAATAATCTCCTCATCTCTAAAACCTTAACTAATCACATCTGCAAAGGCCCTTTTGCCATATAAGGTAACATATTCACAGGTTCAGGGCATTAGGACCTAGGAACCCTTGAGGGGCCATTATTCTACCTACCACAGGTTCCTTCTCATTCCCTTCAAGGAATTCCACACTACTTTTCCTTTATGCTACCTTTTGGTTTCCAAAGCCCTCAGCACTGTGGTGTTGCCCCACCAGAAGCGCAAAATGATCCTATGTGCTGGACCTGTCCTAGCTTCCTCCTTGTCCTCAACTAAACTTAATGGACCTAACTCTAAGAAATACAGTGTACTATTACACACATTTTACAAATGAGGAATCAGGTAGATTAGGTAATTTACTCAAGATACCATCAACATTGAAACATAGATAATCTAGTTCTACATGTAAGCAAATAGCTGGCAACAGAGTAAGTGGACAGTATATGGGGAGACTATAGTATACTCGTTTTATATTACTATCTCTTTTCATTAGACTATGAGCTCCATAAAGGCAAGAATCTTTTATAAGCTAAATGAGTACTATATTAATGTATTCAACATTTATTAAATATCTCAACTAATTCACGTCCTCAGTAAATGCTTATTGAATTATTAAAAAACTAAACAAAAAAAGGTCTTCCATTGCTAATCCTTTCAGTTTACAGAAGATGGCAATAAGGTTATTCAGGCAAGCAAATTTTGCTAATATGTTACCTGAAATAAATTATCTCAGGCAACTAAATTATCCTAAGTCAACTGAAATGCAGATTTCTCCTACTAAACGTCCTTAAAAAATTTGCTTATCAAATTAACCTTAGATAGTGACAATGGACTATTTTAGGGCAAGCTTCGAGTCTGCTTAGAAAAGTCCTCAAAAACATACACATACGCAAAACTACAGATCTAAGAGAAATAGATTAAACATATATATAAAACACTGGAGTCTAAATGCTGTCCCTGAAGTTTAAAGATACATTATCTAAAGAGACGATGGGATATCAATTTCACTATAAAATCAAAGAATCACAGATTCTTAAAAGTCACAAAAAATCTTGCAGATTTTAAAGAAACTAAGGCTACATTCATAGTTATTTATTTCAAAAAGTAGATCTTTTAATAGGAAGTGGAAGGGGCTCTACTGTTAAAAATACTGTAAAATGTTCTTTTATGTTATTGATTTTAATATAGTCTCATTTGTTTAACCTCTTAATTTTATTGAGCCAGATTTCCACACTACAAAAAAAATGCAGCATATATGATAAAGAGATAATTAATTGGGTATTATAGGTTAATGATGATTATACAACCAGAACCTGGACAACGCAATTTATGTTTGTTAATATTCGAACTGGAAAAAAATCCATAGCTATAAAGAGTTTTGATTTACCAAAAACAAAAGCCTAAACATTAAAATATCAGATTTTAAATTAGTAAATCTTCCTACTCTTTGTGAGTGATTACATATAATATTGATCTTCCAGTATCTAATTATAAAACAACCTATTCTTCCCTTAAAAGTGCTATAGGGGTAGGACATTTATCTTTTAAATCAAAGTGAATAAAAATATTGTTTGATAAGTTAATGTGTTATAAAGCTGAAGCTTTAAAATCCACAGCTTGAAATTATCATATTAGAAAAAAGAGTCAAAAAATAAAATTGAGAAAAATTGAATATGTTTTGTATTTGAAAGAACTAATCAGTGTTCTAACTAGTTTCCGGTGGGTTTTTTTTTTTTTTTTTGGTATGCTACTAAATTGTAAAGAACAATTACTCTGGTAAACTTTGGTTCATAATCTTTAATATTCTGGAATTACCTTCCCAAGGAGTGTATTTTATTTGGTCAAATAGAAGTCATTATTAAAGGTACGGGAAAATAAAAAACATGGTTTTACAGTCACATTTTAAAGTGTGACACAGAAACAGAGACAAAAATATTAGTCGTTGTTAAAAATAAGGATAGATAAAATGGATGACATTTATCATCCTATCTCCCCTGTTACTTTGTACAGACAAAAAATTTTTTTAAACTATGTCCTTGATAATTTTTGTTGGCATTTATCTGAAATTTTAATACTACATGTAGACAAATGTTCTGTCGTAACATCTTGAGTTTACAGGTACAAGTTTAAAATTTTATGTTCACAAAAAAATCAATGTTATTTAGGAATAAATTCTTTCAACTTTTTTCATCAGAAGTAATTTCAACAATGTTACTGTTTTCTAAAGAGATCTACATGTGGGAAAAGATAATTAGGGATAACAGGATTATTGTCATGAAAAGTTATTTTTCAAATAAAATATTAAAAATAATCAATTTTGTTATGTTTCACCTCATGTCTATGTCATATGTGCCTGTATCTAGACATAACATAAGTATATATTTAAAATTCCACTAATAATTTCAATGATTTTACACAGGAAATTATGCTTTTTCAAAAAAAATTTCATTTTGATCAAATATACAATTATAACAAGTCTTCTAAATAAATTATTTTAAAGGTAAAAGTTGAATTGTTTTTCTTTCTCTAAATGGCCCCATTAATTCTAAAGCCATACCTATAGAAATAGCTGACACTTTACCGCAGAACAATATAAAATCTAGATTACATATTTTACTGGATATTACCTATAGAGTTTTACCAAACACTTAGATATCGTTTGGCTTAAAATATGAAGCTGTACCAAATTGATGGTTTTTGAATCTAGTTAATCTTTAATATAAAATTATTAGATGAATTTCTGGGGGGAAAAAACATTGAAGGTACACAGTTAACGTATTTTTTGATCTAGCCACTGCTCCACGTTATAAAGTCATTTGCCTGCTTTTAGCACCCTCTGCAGGTGAACCAATATTATGCATGACTTATAGGTCATTAAAAAGCAGTAAAATAGAACCTTTGTGCAAAGGGTACAATGAAGGTGGTTAAACTGTCAAGAATTAAAACAAACAAATTAAACTTTCTTAGTTCTGTTGAGGCAAAACAATGCTAGCTAAATTATCTAATTTACTTAAGAAAACCAGAATGTGTGCATTTCTGTTCATTTCAAGGACAAAATGCTACTTATTGTGACTATACTAATGACATATTGGAAAAATTAAAATGCAAAGTTAAAAAAGGTTACAACTTACAGATAATACCAAAAATACTCAAATTACAAATCACTTGAAAATAAAACGAAACTGTCAACTTACCATCCCTGTTGGACAGCAGACAGACCAGGCCATTGAGGCATGTATCAGTGACTTCTGAGATATTGGTTGCACATCTGCCTATAGTCTGAATAGTAGCTGCTGCAAATTGTTTATCTTGGCTTTTCACATAGGTCTAGAAAATATTAGTTCAATTCGTTTACATGTTGGTACTATGAAGTGAACCAAAAACCCTATTATATTAAGCTTTGTCAACATATAAGAATTTCAGAATACATAATCTTCTCATAAACACAATAGGAGGCCTGACTGATGACTTAGATTAACTTAGTTTTGTTTTTTTACTTAAAGAATGTGCCTATAGAAGAAGCACATTTTCAAGCCAGGCTCATTCACCTGTGGCCACAGTGGCTTGAGACTCCAAAACAGATAGTAGGGAGCAGTCACCCAAAGACAGCAATTAGTTTAAGTGCAAGGTTGAAAGAGATGATGAGAACTCTCTCTTTGGAGGTTTCAGTTCATTTAACCAGCAGCATCTGTGAATCTATGAAAAAAAAGGGTCACTTTTTCAGAGACACTAACTCTAAAAATTGGGAGAAAAGGAGTAAGACCAGTATGCTATTCACAAACATTTTACTTTCAAGATGGTATCACAATGGTTGCAAAACCCTAACAACAGCTACAGTGAACAGCATTTCAATAAAGACTATAAATACTCAGTTCACAATACAATATCATACTTTTGAAATAGCTTTTCTTTAGAAGTATACTTTTAAAAACACTTTAAACAGCATGTTTATACAAACTTAAAAATAAAAAATCACTGATTAACAATTGAATGTTAAAATATATTTACAAAATTTATAATGGTCCTAAGAGAATTTCACTTTGGTTAGAACTTTCCCAATTTAAAAAAGTAAGCTTTCATTGTTAACAGAAACAAATGTACTTTTAATATGCATATTTATATTTTATATATTATATATACATAGGATTTAAAATCCCATTTTCAACTGAAATTTTTTAAAAAGACTCCCAACCTCAAATGAGAAGTACACAATTTAAAATTAACACTATGGTTATCTAAAATACAAGAGAGATATATACATTTAAATGGTGTCTAAATGACAAGTGAGGGAGAGAATCTAAGAATAGCTGAAAAAAAAAAGGACAAATTTAGTAAGAAAGGGACCAAGAAGGTGATTAAATATGAAGAAATAAACAAATTAAACTTCCCTAGTTCCACGAAGGTAACACCAACTATACTTAAAACTGTTCCTAAATAGATTATCCAATTTTCCTCAATTAAAAAAAAATACTTATGAATCTTTAGAAAAATTTCCTATTTTACTAAAAAAGTTATTAAAAACAGTGTTTAACTATGAACATAACACATAAATAGAAATAAAGTACAAATTTAGACAATGATAAAAATGAATATGTGAAGAAAGAATATGTTTAATAGTTTGACTAAAAAATGGGCCTTATTAAATATCCTGATCCTAAATGAAACAACTAAATCACAAACATTCTCAAACAGGTCTAGTGTGTGACCTCTATACAACCAAACACTTCCTTAAGATTACCTAAGATTCCCTTCCTACAATTCCAGGAGAATTGACATAAGCAGAAAATAGACAGGAGAAGACACCCAAAGAGATTACACAGGACAACAGAAAAAGGGACAAGAGCAAACACGAAAACCAAAACTCAAAGATTAATAAATAAATAAAATATAAGAATGAAGTAAAAATCAAATTCAGCAATGATCTATAGCTAATAAGATTACTGGATAAGAACTTAAGACACTACATTTTTTGGCATATAAATATAAGTGTGTCTCCAAGACATCTTAATTTTATAAGGAATTTTTTTAGAAAAACACATAGCATGAAAAAGTAATCCAGTTATGAAAATATATATCATGGATATGCCATAATATTCTACTATTCCTCAAAAAACTTTAAAACCACACAGCTAAAAAGAAATAAAGGGTCTATATAGCTAAAAAGAAATTTAATATGGGCTTATAGAAGAATTACGGCAACAAAATAAATTAAATCTATAAAAGTTAGGCATTGATAAAAACTCTGTGACTAGTGTGCAGCATGTGGAATGTTTTTGTTAAGAAAACTGCCGATGGCTCACGCCTGTAATCCTAGCTCTCTGGGAGGCCGAGGCGGGTGGATTGTTTGAGCTCAGGAGTTCGAAAACAGCCTGAGCAAGAGCGAGACCCTGTCTCTACTAAAATTAGAAAAATTAGCCAATCGTGGTGGCGCATGCCTGTAGTCCCAGCTACTTGGGAGGCTGAGGCAGTAGGATGGCTTTAGCCCAGGAGTTTGAGGTTGCTGTGAGCTAGGATGACCCATGGCACTCTAGCCCGGGCAACATAGTGAGAATCTGTCTCAAAAAAAAAAAAAAAAAAAAAAAAAGGAAAACTGCCGATGAGATGTAAAACTCATACTACTGACATAAAGTTTTCTATTGCTGTGCTCCATCACTGAGGCTTCAGAGATGACCCTTCCATCATAAAAGGCATCGTGTCCATCAAGTAATTTTTGAATAGTATTTTTTTGGGAAATAAGCTAAGAAGCAACTCATCCATCAGCATGTATGGTGTAAAAATACAAAAAAGAAAAAAAGAAAAAGAAAAACAACAATTAAAAAAATCATGGTGGGGTACTTATAAACCAAATGTTTTCGAGTTGTACATGAGGCTAAAATTGTACAGTGTCTAAAATAGTGATAGGTCAATCGAACAGGGACAACCAGGTAAGAAATGAAGCCATTTTCATGAGTGCAGAGTACAGACAGGACTACAGGTGATGACAACACAAAAAGATAACATCCTTTCCAGAAATGAAATTCCAAACAAAGTTAAAATCAAAGTCTTTAAAATACTATGAAAACATGAAAGGAAGTATTATTCCATTTCCTTTAAGTTGTAAATTTGTAGTTAAAGGTTATCATTAAAAATTTATCAATTTCTTAGTTGTCATTGTTGCCCCAAATCACTATTTACATAATTACATATTTCTAGATGAGGAAAGATACAAGTTTAACTTAAGAATTGAACATATGTTTTAGAAGTTATTTTATAATTAGCATTATACACATACCTGAAATTCTCGAAGAAGAGTTGATATGTTAGCTTCATTTGCCAGGTTTGTCAAAATTTCAAGCTATGGTAGAAAAAAAGAGAAAGTAAAGATTTTAAAACATAAGTAAAAATAAACTTAATAAAGCCTAGGCATCTAATTGAAAGGTAATTTCTATTTTTAAAAAATCACACTGCCACCAATGTGATGAGGCATTATACCCTTCAAGGTGAATTTAGTCTGTCTTATGCTGATAGAGAGACTAGACAATTACTAGTTCTTAAAAAATAATTAGAAAAAGGAGACTCCTACACCTTACTCATTGTTTGTCCCAACTTTATATCTAATTAACTTAAACAATTTAAGCTAGTTTAATTTTTGCCTTTTGTTAGTAAAGTTAGAAAACAATTTGCCCTCCATCTAATACATGCTTTCCAGATACCAGTTGTCTTGATTTGTTCTCCTACATTCTACCATCCCAAATACTTAGACATTTTAATTCCCTCTTCTGGATTTATAGATATAATAAATATGTAATTATAAGTCCATCTCCAATGGGCTTGCAAAAAAACTTTTTTTTTACTCATAAAAAAATAGTTAATCTGAAGAAAAGCAAGAAAAAGAAAAAAGGAAGAGAACAGATGAGACAAACAGAAAATAAGACATGGACACATAAATACACTCATATCAATAATTACATTAAAAGTAAATGATCTAAACATTCCAATTAAAAGGCACAGATTGTAGAAGGAGTTCTTTATATATTCTGGGTACAAGCCATTTATTCAGATACATGTACTGAGAAGGTTTTCTCCCAGATTATGGCTTAACTTCTCATTTTATTTTGGTGACTATATTTTAACTTTTTGAACAACTTTTTAAAAATAATCTCAATCATACAAAAAGTTACATGTATAGTATAAAGAACTTTTTTTCCTCTCTGAACAATTTGAGACTATAGTTGCCAATCTGATGCCATATCATCCCCAAACACTTATGTATATTTCCTATAAAAAAGGACATGTTCTACAGACCACAATACAACCAAGAAAATTGGGAAATTAACACTGATGTATTACTTCTGTGCAATTGTCACTACACATTTAAGTTTCATTAATTGTCTCAATAATGTATAATGACAGGATCCAGTTCAATATCCCATATTATATTTACTTTTCCCCTTAAGTATGAATTAGAGTCATGAAAGTCAAAAAAAACTAAGAAACTGAGACTTTTGATGATTAGAAACCAGATTTTTTATAAAATATCCTTCAATTTGGGTGTGTCTTGGATTTTCTTATGATTGAACTCAGTTTCTATGTGAATAATACATAATTCTAATATTTACTGAATAGTCCATCTTTTCCCCATTGGTTTGTAATGTCTCTTCTATTATACAGTAAATTTTTACTTACTTTTCTTTCTAAATATCATACTGTTTTAATCATTATAGCTTTATACTCCTAACTTCACTCTACATTGTAGTTATCTTTCTCTGAAAACAACACTCTTTCGTAATCCCTTGTGTCAACATAAACTGTGCTTCTCACCTACTCCCAACCCTTCAACCTCCCAATCAACCTACCAACAACAAAAAAATTGACAATGTCATTCTTTTAAGATCCTTCCAAACATCATCTTTTCCAAAGCTTTCAAAGAATTAGTCTCACCTTTCTGTTTTCACGGCACTCAATTCAAATTGCTGTATCACTTAAAATACACAGTGCTAAAATTATCTATTTACATGCTTGTCTCCTTCGGCATGAGTTATCCAAGGTGTAGGCAGCATGTCTTAACTTTATCAGAATGTAACACAGTAACTATTAATAGTACATAAGAATATAGATGAGAAAGTATAAAGAAAAATCCTTAAATGTATCGGACTCCGTTTTTCAGATGCTAGAAAGTTATAGCACTATCTCTGCAAAGTAAACACGTATTAAGAGCATGTGAAAAATGAAAACATACACACCTTCAGTGTCTTGATCATAGTTGGATCAGTTGACCTAACATAGAAACTCTTCAAATAAGGTTCAAACATGCCCTAAATCACAAAAATAAATATATAAATACATTTATGGTACTAATATGTTCATTTTCCTGTTAAATTGTGTGTCCTAATGTACATACCTTTCTTTGAATTGACATAGTTGCTATATTTTGTAGGACAATATACTGCACCTCCCTAGAAATTAAAAGAGAATTTTCACTGGGTATATTTTCCAATGAAACATCTTTGAGTAAACAGTACAATAATGAAAAAGAATCAGCAATAAGTTATATAATAAATTAGAAGTGATTTGTCATGAGGAAGAATTAAAACCAATTTTATAATAATGTGCTCTTAAAATACAAAGTCAATATTGTATCTGCTTTGAACACATACAAGGAAGGTATTCTTAGAGTTAATGGGGTAAACATGACCACAGTGCTAATGTAAACTCTGACTGAAGGCTCATTCTGTCACTCAATTCTGCCCAGAGTGAAGGCCAGATTTAAAAAGCAGTCACATGATATTTTTATTTATATTTTTATGTCCAAATATATAATAAATGAACTGAATCTGGTATAAGGTTTCATGTGAAAGATCCATTCCAGATCTTTCTGATACCCTTTGAACTAGCCAAAGAAAAGAAAAATTATTTGAACTGACAAAAGAGAAAAGAATGACTAGGTATAAAGACAGAGGGACCAGCAACACAAAGGAAATGGCATCTCACTTGTTACCAAGGAATAACAAAATCTAGTCAAAGGCTAAAGTTGAGTGCTAAGTTCTAGGTTAAGGGCAAAAATAAATATATATCTTTTTTCCCCACCCAGTTAGTGGAAGTAAGCACTCAATGAAAAAACAAAATTTTTAATTTAAAACAATTCATTATTGCAAAATATCTAAGGCGTGCTCAATAGCTGAAACAAAGTTACTCTTAAATACAGAAAACAAACAAAAAATATCTCATCTTAAACTTGAAATCATGCTTCTCATGTTACATGTCATGGGAAATCAGTACAAGTGTTTTGAATTGTTGACCTGAATCACTGAATTATAAGGAGGTAAAATTAAAAAGAAGGTGGCATGCTTCCTTGCTTTCTATGTAAATATCTATAAAAACTAAAAGAATATGTAATTCTTTAAAATCAATAGCTATTAAAAATATAGCTCTCTTCACATATGTGCATAGAGGGAAGTATAACTCAATGGAAATCCAACAGGGGGAGGGGAGAAGAGGGGATGGGCAAAAACCTACCTAAGGGGTATGATGAACACTATCTAGGTGACAGGCACACTTATAACCCTGACTCAAGCATTACAAAAGTCATCCACATAACCAAAAACATTTGCATCCCCATAATACTTTGAAATAAAAAAATATATATAGCGTTTTTTTTTTGAAGAGTTTATTAATTTGCTAGCATATGAGGAGGTTGGCAGACTCTTGTCTCAAAATACCAATGTCCTGTTTCTGTATAGCTCTCTTTTTAAAATAGAGCAAACCACAGTAATTAAGTCAATCTGATAGCACCTCAGTATAGTTTTTCAGCAATTCCAGATTTACTAAAACTCCCAAACATCATTATTGTCATACCTAAAAATATCAAACACTAAGCTACTAGTGACAGCATATACTACTCTATGCCACAAATATTTTCGATCTCTTTGGGCTAAGGTTAAAAAATTTTCAATATTTATCATTAAGTTTGAGATAAATGTTATAAATCCTTTTATATTGATCCCCATAAGTATGAAATCTTGTTGATACAATGTAAGCAGAGCTACTTATTAAATGCCTGAAAGATAGATTATATTTGTTCAAACATTACTTTTGAAGAAACACAAAAGAAAAAACATATATAAAATATCGACTTACCTATTGCTACGAAGTAAACGCACTAGTGATTTAGAAATAATTCCAGTTTCAGATTTTGGTGCTATGTGCCAATACAGCTGAGCAACTGCCATAACCACCTAAAAGATAAAGCATGAAAATAATAGGAACTAGGAACACTAGAGCATTCTACAATTTCAAAATACATTATTAGATATTGTTTCCTTTAACTCATACAAAATTTCTGTGAAGTAAGATAAAATATGTTATTATTTGTAGTGAGTTGAAGAAGTCCCCTCCTCCAAATTTTTGTCTGTCCTCAGAATGTGATCTTATTTAGGAGATGGGTCTCTACAGAAATGATTAAGGTAAGGACTGAAATGAGACCATGCTGGATTCGAATAGGCCCTACATTCAATCAGAGTGTCCTTATAAGAGACAGAAAAAGACACAGAGAAGAAGGCAATGTGAAAATGGAGGCAGAGATTAGAGTGATGCATCTACCAGCCAAGAAATGCCAAGAACTGCTAGCAACCACCAGAAGCTGGGAAAGAGAAGCTTTTTCCCTCAGAGCCTCCAGAGGAAACCAACGCTGTTTACAACCTGATTTTGGACTTCTGATTTACTGAAATGTGAGAATAAATTTCTGTTGTTTTAATCCACCCAGTTTGTGGCAATTTGTATGATAGTGCTAGGAAACTGATACATCCTCAGAAAAGAAAATAGATGTTAAATGAACTACTCAAGATGTGACAGCCAGTATGTGGCAAAGCTCAACAAGACACTCAAAATTCCATGCTCCTCCTAGTGCTGCTACCACTGCTCTGAGACTGGGAATTTTTAAGGATTGTAAGCATGCCTTTCAAAATGAAGCCAGATACTTCAGTATAACAGTAAAAGTAGGCTGAAAGAAAGAAAAATCAGCACATTTAAGTTATAATGAAAGGAACTCCATTAAAACAATACATCTAAAGCAGCATTTGAAATGATTTTTTTTTCAAAATACAGACCTTAAAAATAGTCTTTAGTTCAAAGCCATTATAAGGGTGATTAGAGTTTCTCTGTCTCAAAATATACGAGTACTGTGTTTCCGCTAAGTGCCTTCACACTTAGATTCAGAGTGACAACTGCAGAGACATAGCTATAGGACAGTAGGCAGCACATGAGAGTGCTTGAGGTAAAGAGAGTTTCTTCTGAAACTAAAAAACCGTATTTTAAAAATTACAGATTACAGGGTCCTAAATTTACTGTTGTTTGGCATTTGTTGTACTTTTCTACAAGACTGATTATGCTTTTAGATATCAGTTGAGAATTTTAGGAGTGCAAGAATATCTCATTTCTTCACTTATGATCTATAAAATATGCTTCAATTATAGAATAAACTCTCCTAAATTTAAAATCTTACAAAGATAAAAGAATCCCAATTAATGATTGACCTAATACAACATGATAGTCATTTGTAAAAATATTAAAGCACATAGCTGGCAAATTATTTAGTATATGACAGAAAAGAAAATTGAAGCTTAATTTTAATGGAAAATTGAAGCTTAATTTTAATGTATTTTATACATCACAATTAAATGCTATTCCATCATAAATAATAAGTCCAATCCTACTGGCAAGAACATAAACTGTACTTTCTATATATGTCAATGTTTTTAAAATTCTAGCTTCCACTTGGTATGTCATTCATTCTAATATATTAGGGCATTCCAAAATCCAAAAGGACTAAACAATCTTCTTTTTCCTCAATATTTGCAAATCCAACAGTTTAAAGTTTCTTCTAAACTCAAAATTTGAAATGTATAGGCTAATTTATAAAAGCCAAGAGGAGAGCTCCCAAAACTTCAAAATCCAAAAAGACTAAAAATATACAGTCTCAAAGGCGTTCTACAGTTACATCATGTATGTTCATAATAAAGTACAAACTATATTCACTTTTCTATTCTTAAATATTCACACCACTATCACCTTATTTTAGACTGTTAACATTCTATTTCCAGCTTCTATCTGCAATTCAATCTACACAGCAATGACTAAGTTTTCTGAAACAAATTCTCAAAGTCTCTCCATAAACCTGAGTATAAGGTTAAGAAAAAAGCTATTCACAATTCTTCAAAAGTCAGCCTTTACGTATATTTAGCAGCATCGAAAAACAGGGTACCAAAATATACTACGACAAAAAGTAAACTATCTTGATTTGTTTCATCATTTGAGAACAATTTTGATCAGTAAGTACTTGAACTTTAAAATCAATTTCTAAGACAAAGATAAATTAACAGTGATTCACTCATAAAGCAGAGTTTTAGATGGCAAATTGCAGCTACCTAACTAGTGTCTGGCTAAGCTAGGGCACACTAAAATAATATCATATTTGACAACATCAGTGGCATAATATTTTTGTTATGACTGAACATGGTTACTGAATAATGATTTGGAAACAATTACTAGGTGTATGATAAAAACTGCTGCTGATTACTAAGATATACAAAGTTGTAAACTCTAAATTCTCAAGAATCAGAAAACAGAAAATAATTCAAGTAAAGTTCCTCATATTCAAAGTTTTCCCTAATATAAGAAAACAATTCATTAAGAATATTTTGATTAAAAAAATTTTAAGAAAATGTTTAACTTAAATTCATCAAGTCTTTAGATGTAACTTCCAGTTAACAGGAAACACAGGGTTTAAAAGAATAAATTAAATGACATTATAAAAGCAGCAACCAGACAAATTGAGAAGGACATTCTGCAGGACTTGAGAGGCTTTAAACAATTTAACAACCAGGTGTAATGCATGAGATAATGGTTTGGATAAACTATCTAAAAAGGACAATTTAAGATAAATTGGTATTTTATGAGATGAAATTTTATTGAAATAGAAAGGTGGAGAGAACTGACTAGGAAAAAAAGCAGCTTAAAAATTACTACACATGGTAAGATTTTTATCTTGGTTAAAAATATATATGTACATATATATGTGAATATATGTATATTTATGCAGACAAAAAAAGATCTGGAAGAAAATGCACTAAGATATTATAATGATTTCTGAGTGATGAGAATGTGATGTTTTAATTTTTTTTTTAGTTTTACTAATTTATATTTTCTAATTTTTTATTGTGTACATGTATTCTTCTAAAATATAAAAGGTTATTTAAAAAGATGTCAAACAAAAAAAAAACCTTAGGTCTCAAACAAAGATGATTTTTAGTTACTATTACTACCAATGTAAGTTTACTATGTATGAGGTATTACTTTTGCTATACTTTAGTTTCTTAAAAATTCTGTCAGATAGGCTGGGGGTGGTGGCTCATGCCTGTAATCCTAGCACTCTAGGAGGCAGGGATCATTTAAGCTCAGTAGGTCGAGACCAGCCTGAGCAATAGCAAGACCCTGTCTCTACTAAAAAAATAGAAAGAAATTAGCTGAACAACTAAAAATATACAGAAAAAATTAGCCGGGCATGGTGGCACATGCCTGTGGTCCTAGCTACTCACGAGGCTGAGGCAGAAGGACTGCTTGAGCCCAGGAGTTTGAGGTTGCTGTGAGCTAGCCTGACGCCACGGCACTCTAGCCCAGGCAACAGAGCAACACTCTGTCTCAAAAAAAAAAAAAAAAAAAAAAAAATTCTGTTACATAGATAGAAACATTATGGACTCTTAAACACAATGGAGTAACTGAGAAATATACGGTCTTTGCATAAAGGCTAATATAATTAATTGAGAAACAACTTGGGCTCATAACTTATATTAATTAAAAAGCCAATTAACAAAACTATAGAAAAGCAAATGAAGTCCATTAGGCCAACAACTACCAAACCAGGTATTCTCATCAAAACCTAATTCTGCATACCTGGAAACATTGAAGGCTGAAACAAATTTAGGCATTACTTTCCAGAAATTAGTTCTCTAAATGTATAGCTTATATTTCACACTGTATTTCCAAATATGCATTACATGTGTTTGGTAAGTAAACAAACAAATGCTCCATTAGCATACATACACTCATTTACTAAATTTACATACTTTTCATTACTATTTTTAAAAATCTGTGAATTATTTCTTAGAAGGATTTTAACGTACCGCTGCATTCCTGCTCTGAAGCAAAGGCTTTGTATTTCTAATCAAGAGTCTGTGGTCTGGATCCATAGCATATGTCTTCTTTTTTTTGTCAGTCTTTTCCTTCTGTTCGTCATCAGATTCATAGAAATTCTTTTCATTGTCTTCTAGACCATCATCCTACAATAAAAGAAACCCAATCCCAAGATTAGTTCACACCTTGAACAACAGCTCAAGTGATTATACAGTCAAAGAAAACTTTTTTTTAAAACATCTACAATAACATTTTACTGTTATAATGTACTACTGTTGGGGCAATTTCAAAAAATATACAGGCCTGGCACAGGGGCTCATATCTAGTCCTAGCACTTTGAGAGGCCAAGGAAGGAGGATAGCTTGAGCCCCGGAGTTTGAGACCAGCCTGAGCAATAGCAAGACCCTGTCTCTACTAAAAAAATAGAAAGAAATTAGCTGAACAACTAAAAATATACAGAAAAAATTAGCCGGGCATGGTGGCACATGCCTGTGGTCCTAGCTACTCACGAGGCTGAGGCAGAAGGACTGCTTGAGCCCAGGAGTTTGAGGTTGCTGTGAGCTAGCCTGACGCCACGGCACTCTAGCCCAGGCAACAGAGCAACACTCTGTCTTTAAATACATACACACATACATATACACATATTTTTAAAAATAAAATAAAAAATAAAAATATTATACAACTTAGATGGAATAAAAGCCTTGATTTTTTTCTTATTTTATAACACAGTAACAGTGCCATAGATGATGTTTCCACTATATTACATAGTTAATCTTTGAGTATTAAATCCCCATAGAAATACTTATAGTTCCCTACCTATAGGGAACACATGACCACTAGATTCTAACAAAGCCTATAATATGACACTACACAAAACCTCAAAACTATTTCCATAAATTGTCAGTTACCCTATAACTAGACCAAAGAGTCAGAAGAAGGAGGAAAACTGTATGAATAGTAACATAAAGGAAATCATAATAAAGCTTGACAGGTAAAAACTAGTGATTAAGTACATCCCTGAGTTGTTTGAAAAAAGTCTCAGTCTGAGATTTATGAATATCCATAAGAGTTGATTCCAGGTTTTTGTTTTAAATTCTTTATCTACCCCAATAAAATATGCCTACCTACAGGCATTTAGTCCCCAAAATAAACAAACAAAAAGAACACAAACACAATAATATCCACATACATCCAATTCAACTACTGTTTAGAGGTAATTTTTGTTACCAGGTATTTGAAACATATTTTCTGCTTCTGGGAAGATGGAATTGATATACTTTTTCTAATTTCTCTCACTAAATACAACTAGAAACACAAAACATTACATATAAAACAAACATAAGAAGACTCTGAAAGGCAATGAGAAGAAGGAAGATTGGATAGGGACCTCAGGACCCAAAGAATGACACAACAGTAAGCTTCCTGAGTTTACTTTTTATCTCATCTCTCCAAGACCAGATGCTGGAGAAGCTGGCAACAAGTACAGAAAAAACAAACTCCCAAAGGACCAAGATAGGGGAAGTCTAGCAAGACAGAAAACTTTTAGAAATAATTATTCTAGTGCAGCCAACTTCAAAGAAAAAACTACAGCTCTACCCCCATTCCTACCAGTAAAGGCTGAGATGATGATCCTAGACTTTCACTAGGCTGTAATGTGATGCCCCAACCACCCTATCAAGGTGGTTTCAGAAAAGGCTGGAATGGGACCAAGATTTTCATCCTCACCAGGAAGTAATAAGAACCCTCATGGTGTCACTAGAGATCAAGTGGGGTGCTTGGACTTCTAAGCCTACCCATTAGTGACATAGTGACCTTATTCCTCCCCAGTGTGATGATGTCAGAGGATGACTAGAGGACAGTCAGGACTTGAAGCGCCACACCTAGTAGTAACCAAAGCCATTCCCCCATACCACGGTGAGTATCAGTGAAAGATACATGTGGAACAATAATAATGAGGCACTTCTATCCCTCCCAGACAGACAGCTATCAGAGCAGGACTAGCTGGGAGCTACTCCCATGCAAAGAGATACATTCAAATTAACCATAGATAAATAAAAATGGAATTTTAAAAAATGTTTAAATAACCCACAGGAAGACAACAGAAAAACAGAGAAATGAAGAACAGAGAGAACAAATGAAACAAAAAATAAAATGGCAGGCTTAACACTGAAAAATCAATAATTAGATTAAATATAAATAAATATACCAATTAAAAGACAAACACTGGAAGAGTAGATTGAAATACATGACCCAACTATATTCTGTCTATAAGAAACTCACTTCAAATACAAAGATACAGACAAGCTGAAAGTAAAAGGATGGAAAAAATATGTAATATGCTAATATTAATCAAAGAAAAACAGGAATGGCTATATTAATATTAGATAAAGTACATGTCAGAGCAAAGAAAATTACTACAGACAGAGGGGGACATTATATAATGATAAAATGGATAATCTACAATGAAGGTTATATATCATATAATTCCATTTATTTAACATTCTTGAAACGACAAAATTGTAGAAATAGAGAAAGATTAATGGTTGCCAGGGCTTAAGTATTGGGAGGGCAGAGTTAAGCATCCAGAAGAAAGTGTGTTTAGTTATAAAATGGCAATATAAATGATCCTGTGATGGAAATAGTCTGAATCTTGACTGTATCAATGTCAATATCCTGGTTATACTGTACTATAGTTTTGTAAGATATTACCATTGGGGGAAACTGAGGAAGGGTTACCAGATCTCTCTGAATTATTTCTTATAACTGCATGTGAATCTAAATTATCTTTTTAAAAAAGCTTAATTGAATACAATTGAGATAAAAATCAGTAAATTATTTAAAAGCAATATGTATGTATTTATGCATTGTCATAATATAATTAAAAAATCATGTAAAATGATTTAGGTTAATATCATTTAATGAAGTATTTTTCCCTTGCTAAGTGTCTGCAGATAATGCACAATCTTTACATAAATCTTGATATAAGTATCACTGCAAAACACTTTTAATGAAAAGTACAAGTTTTATACTTTTCATGAAAAGTACAACTTTCTCTTATTAGTTCAGTGTTTTTTAAATCCACAATAAAAATATTAAGAAA